GAAAATTCGTCGAATATTGAGGACTACAACGAAATCTCTATTGAAGAGGTAGACGATTCACCACAAACCGAAGTGATTTTTCCTGCTCGAAGTTGCCAAGATCATGATCCTCCGGAGATCGAAGACCACGAAGAGGATGATTCAAACCAGAGTCCAGAAGAAGATGTTCAACTAGACCAGGAACTTGATACCCCGAAAAGGGGACGAGGGAGACCGAAGATATTAAGAACTGGTCTCAGGGGCAGACCCAGGAAACTATTTCATACAGCAAATAGCGCAATGGAAACAGTTGAAGTAGCTCATCTCGCCGAAGTCTCGCTCGATCAAGCTGTTCAGGGACCGTACACCGAAGAATGGTATCAAGCAATCGTTTCCGAGATGAAATCGATAATCAAGAACGATACCTGGACCTTAGTTGATCGTCCGAAAAATCAAAATGTGATAGGAAGCAGAATTGTTCTTAGGAACAAATACAAGTACGACGGAACCCTCAATCGGAGAAAGGCTCGTATCGTTGCCAGAGGATTTGCTCAGCAGCCGGGCGTCGACTTCGTCGAAACATTCGCGCCCGTTGCACGTCTGAGTTCAATCAGGATCATGGCAGCACTCGCCGCGGAATATGGAATGTCTCTACATCAGTATGACATCACTACAGCATACTTGAATGGAGTACTCCAGGAAAAGGTGTTCATGGAGGTCCCAAGGTACACGATCGAAACTCTGAACAGGATCATCGCGTCAGAGACTGTCAGTAGCGATGTTGGAAAAAAGGCCGCGAAGATGCTCGACGAACTCGGAAATGGAGACAGGGTTTGTCTGCTGAACAAGGCTCTTTACGGTTTACGTCAGGCCGGACGCTGCTGGAATGAGCGGATTGATGAAGAGTTACTCAAGCTTGGAACTCAAAAATCGGTTGGGGATCCGTGCATGTACTTCAGAGGTTCTGGAAAGAACCTGCTTTTAATCGCCATTTATGTAGACGACATTCTCGTCGCCTCACGAAATAAATGCCAAATAATGAAATTCGGGCAATATTTGTCTAACGCTTTTGAAGTTACAGATCTCGGAGCTATCAAGTATTGTCTCGGAATGGAATTTACAGTACGAGAGGAGGAGATCAGGATATGTCAAACCGGATACATCAATGACATACTTGATCGTTTCGGGATGTCGGATTCCAGGGTCGTCTCTACACCCCTAGATCCTGGAACAAAATTGGAGAAAAGCGACGAGGCACCCAGTCCCGAGGAGGAAAAATTCCCTTATCAAGAACTTATGGGAGCCCTCATGTACCTTGCCGTTTGTACTCGTCCTGATATAGCTTACTCCGTCAGCTATTTGAGTCAGTTTAACTGCTGCTACCGGGCCTGTCACTGGATTGCTGCAAAACGCGTCCTGCGTTATCTTCAGGGCACCAGGAACGTTGGATTGAGATATAGAAGAACAGGAAGGCCGCTGGAAGGTTTTGTCGACGCGGATTGGGCTGCCAAATTGATAGAAGATCTTACACCGGCTACACTTTTCTCTTAAGCGGCTGTCCTATCTCATGGGAAGCAAGGAAACAGAAAACAGTGGCCCTCTCATCCACCGAAGCCGAGTATATGGCACTAACGGAGGCCGCGAAGGAGGCTGTGTATTTGAGACGCCTTCTCATCAATATCGGTTTCGATTCGGAAGCCCGAGTCAAGATATTTTGCGACAACAATGGCGCGCAGAAGTTAGCTGAAAATCCCGTATTCCACAGTCGAAGCAAACACATCGACGTGCGCCACCACTTCGTTCGAGAAGTCCTTAGCAGTGGAGAACTTGAGATCGCTTATACCCCTACCAGTGAGATGACAGCAGACATCTTTACAAAAGGATTGTCAACATTTAAACACAGGAAGTGTATGGAGCTTCTTGGTATGACCAACGTGGAGGTGACAGAGACCAGATATCCCTGAATTGAGGGGGAGTATTGGAACATTCATATCCCGCGTTTTTTCTGCAATTCATGGATTCCCTTTATAGTAGTTGGCAGCACCGTCAGCTCCGCGCGGTGTGATACCGGCATTAGTTTTTGCCCCTCCTCTATACACTAACTCTCTATGTCCGTACCTCAAGTATCGTTACGAGACGCAATACCGATCCGAGTAATCTCGTGTATAAACCAAAATATATTCGAGTTGTATTGCAAGCTACGTTACGTTTCTCTATCCTGCATCCTGCGTCCATATGCGTTAATAGTTGCTTTAACACAGGTAAATTTGGTTGCCAGGTCTTTATGAAAAAATTTTCTGATAATCGCCAGTAAATTTTTGGATATTACAGTTCCTCCATCAATTATGAATCCAATTGTGGTCGTCTAACCATATTCCAGGAGAAAATAAATTAATAAAATTAATAAATTAATAAAATATAAAAATTGGATAATTTTGATAATGAGATATCTTACAAAGTCTTTACGAATTTTCTCGTCTGCTAATAATAAATTAAGCTTATCGTATTCTTCTTTTGTCTTAAGAGGCCATTTCATTTGATTTTGCTGCGTCCAATGAACCGAGACGTCTTTATTTCCACCAATTTCTCCAACCATCAATAATCTATCGATCATATTTTGCTCTAAATCTGTTTTCATGGCTTGAAGATCGTTTCTCATCAGCTGTTGATTAAGTTTAATGTTTTGCACATCCGCTAAAATACGTTTTAAATCTAAAAAAATCACAAAAATCATTGTAACTAAAACATATACTTTATAAATTAGTTTTTATAAAATGTTTAAAATTAAAATATCAATAATTTATTACAATTTGTCATAACAGAATAGTCCAGATTAATTGGTAGTGGATTTTTTAATATCACGTCTTCAACAATTGTAGATTTATTGGAAGAACTTGGCATGTTTGTTACTAAAAAAATAATTTAATACTTTCATATTAATTTTCTTTTTTAATAACTAATAAAATAATAAGTCATTTATTTGATTTATTCTACCTGTAGAAATATCATTATTGTTTTTTTTACTACCATTAGTTTTTGGCAACTTTTCTTTTCTTGGAACTGAGTTTTTATGAAGTGGCTCACACATTTCGTTTTCAGTATTTGATTCTATGGTAGAAATACAATAAAAATATTTTGTTACTTTAATTTATAA